CTTCTCTCTCTCTCTCTCTCTCTCTCTCTCTCTCTCTCTCTTTCTCTCTCTTTCGTATCATAATTAGATATTTAATAAACATATAATGTTATTATTGATTTTGCAATTTATCTAAACATTACAATGCCTACAACTTTCTTAAAAAAAATTTCATAGTAGAAACTCGAAAATATTATCTGTTTACTTATTGAAAACTTTCAAACTTTTTTAAAATTAATTATTATTTATATGCATATGCGGTTTTATTTTATGGATATATTATTCTATATAATTTTTATCATATCATTTTGTTTTCTTAAAGACATTGCTCTGGAGAATAAACGCCTCTTATTTTTTATATTAGTTTTTAAAATAGTTGAAAGCAATCGTAATAAGAAATATACATATTCTTACTTAAAGTTGTATCTTACAAGAATTTGCACTTTCCAAACAAAAGCTATTCTTTGTAACTGCTTGACGAGGGGTAGATAATGAGAATAGCAGGTGAGACAAGACCTTGTTGTCGGATCACGAAAAGAGGCGGACGAAATATGAAGGCTCGGATATGAGCAAAAAGAATTTCAAGCGAGAAAAATGATACTTTTCTTGCGGGAAAATAAAATGAGTCATTCAATGTGAAGTGATCGTAGTGCCGGCGTAACGAGTTCGGGGTAAAAGCGGAGTAGAGCTCGCGATTCTGAGTCTTCTTCTCCTGTTGTCTCTCATGCAACTGCCGTTCACTTCACGGCATATCTTTTTCTCTCTCCCTCCGACGAATAGATGGGATAAATTGCGCTCTTGGCACTCTTGACTTTTAAATCCGCTAGGCGGATCTGTCTAACTATACTTACTTTTAAATGTCCTTCCTGACTGGGATTTCAACAGCGTCGACAACGATTGCCGACGACGTCGTACTGACGATGCGGGTAATGATGCGACGCCTCATGGATTAAACTGTTCGAGGCTTACGAGCCGGTGATTATATGACGCCTACGCGATCATTGGATGGGCAATTACGTCTCCGTAAACGATCGCCGTTGCCTGTAAACTGTCGATTTGCCGTGGTCATATGATGCGAAATGTTCTCTCGTATGGAAGATCAGGGATCAGAACAGAGATTAGACTTGATGGAGGCGAGATAATTACTTATATTCTGAAATAAAATGATAAAGTAATAATAAGGAATAAAATTTCTGCCGAAAGGATAAACAGATTTCTTCAAAACATCTTTTAAAAGATACTTGTACATCGTATATGATCATATAATGATGCTTATAATTTATGTTTTTCTATTATATAATATCTCGAAAAAAAAGGATAATTTGAAGGAACGAAATCTATAACAAATTAAATAATTGTAGAACAATAGAGAAAAAACACGAAGTATATTGCGTTACACAAGATTAATTAATTAAAGCAACAAGACTTGTATATTTTAACTAATTAATTATTAATTATAATTATTTGAGAATTAATGAGGAACCATATGTTGCACGCTAAGACGCTTATGTTACAAACTATATGCTAAACGGGGGGAAATTGATGCGCCACGAGATTTCATCCAACCGACCGATTATCAATTTGCGACACGTTACCGTGACGTGACGGATGCTTAAAGAACGTCATTATCCTGCACGATTGGTCCACGAGCAAGCTAGGATTTAATAATGTTGAGAGGCGAGCTAGACGTTGTGCACACATCGGGATTGCTATACACAGCTTTCGGCCATCTTCAATATCTGAGCAGCTCAGAAGCAGTATTGTCTAGAGCGGCAAGGACGCAATCCTCTTCTTTACTTTATGACTGTCTCGAGCGATGACAAGCATTATGCAACAGATAATGGCTTTTGTTAGCGGCTATGCTGCCAATATAATTGGAAAGAAAGTATATTTCGCAGACAGACACGTTCTATCATTCGCGTGGAATTTGAAAAAAATTTTGCTTTTGACACACTTTCTTACGATATACTTTTAATCTATCGATATCAAGATTTTCTAAAATTCTTAGATTTTCTTATTTTAATTAAGAAGACAATTTTTCAGACGCTCTAAGTTAATATACTTTAAAATATTTGACAGAATACTTTGAAAAAACATAGGAAGAATACATAGGAAAACAATATCGTTCTCCAGTGCTTAATTTTCGTGAAGTATAATGAGTTTTCGGCTTTGCTGCACTATTACTAATTTAGGCGAATAGCATAACGGAAATTTGACGAAGAAAAATGAGGAAACGCGGCGGATGGACGAAGGAATGCCTCATGTCCTTGTCGTCCAAGGCATCTACGAAGCAAGAGTCGGCCGAGCGGGCGAGTACGAGTCCTATTCCAATTCCAACAAGTTAATTGGAATTGTTTGCTGCAGACACCGCGAGCCGCTTGCCCTCGCGCTCTTCTGAATCCTATACCTCTAACAGCGCTTTCCTTTGTCCTGCCCCCCCCGTCTCTAGCTGCTACTATCGTAGCTTCAGCATGAAACTCACACCGACGGAGCATCGTCGCGTTCATACAGTTCCTGACATCCTGAGAGGAATTAATTTCTATCACGAATCTAGTACTCGGTAAAAGTCTCTCCTTAAAATACTTGCCGTCGTTCTTTCGAGCTAACCGAACAATCTTACTATCAGAAGAACATGCAATATCTTTACTGTTTTTGCGATTAAAACCCGTTTAATTAATTATAGTAACGTGAGAAGTTAAAGAATATTGAAATTATTACTATGAAATTTTTATAAAAGACATGAGTATAAAAATAGTACAAGTGATATTCATATTCATTTTATATATTTATTGTAAATTTATTTCGATAATCACTGAGAATTAATACCGTTAATCTAAATAGATTAGTAATTAGAAAATATTAATTATATGTAATATTTTTTATAACCAAGAAATCGCACAAATAAATAAATAAATAAATAAATAAATCATTTTCTAATAATGAAAGAATGTTTTATTAAAAATCATGATTATAGTAGATTTAATTCTTCTTTTTTTTTAAAAAAAAGACATCGTATTGATTTGCTAAAATTTTGTGATAAATTATTAGTTTATATTAAGTAAATAATGTGAATCGTTCAGTAATCATAATTTTATATATGCAAAAGAGGATAGCAATAAATTTTACATATTTTCGTTTTTATTTTTCTTTCTATTTTAAAATTTTGTTTGCTATATTCTTAAATATAAAATTAGAATAATAAAAAACAATACTAAAGAAACAATCGCTTTCCTTAAATGTTATAAAATACAACGTTAATAAAATGCGTATTTTGTTGTTTATTAATAAAAACAAGGATTTTTTTAAAAATCGCAATTGAACATCTCATCTCACAATAAATAGTAATATTAATTTCGATTTTGTTGCAAAAAATACAGGTAATATCTCATACCATTTATACATAATTACCATTTATACATAATTTATACATGGAGTTATAGGATAATATATATAATGGAGTTGAATGGAACATTCGTAGTTCTATTTACATAAATTCCGACAACAACCGTACTCATTTTCACTCATGTCTCAGCAACGGTGTGTGTGTGTGTGTGTGTGTGTGTGTGTGTG